GAGATAAAGAATCCTGGAATGGTTTGGGTAGGAAAGGAGCTCAAAACCACCCAGTGCCACCCATGCCATGGGCAGGGACAATTCCCAGGTTACTCCAGCCTGGTTTTGGACACATCCAAGGATCCAGGGGCAGGCACAGCTTCTCTGGAATTCCATTCCAGCTCCTCCCCAACCTCACAGGGAAGGGTTTCCCCCCTAATTTCTAGTTTTAACTTGTTCTCTGTGGCAGTTTGAGGCAGGCAGGGGATGAGCAGGGAGCCCAGGAAACGCAGTGCTTCCACCCCGGCTCCTTAAAAATAAATCCACTTCTCCCTTTTCCTCTGCTTCTCCTGCTGATGGATCCAGGCTCCTGCTCCAGCAATCACCTCAGTCTCATGATTCATCCCAGGTTTCAGCACCCCCACAGCAGCGGCCAAGCCCATTCCCAATTTTCCAAGCAGTTCCACTCCTCCAGCCCCGCTGCTGAGCTCATGGAAAAGCCGAGCCCTCCAAAGCTTCCGTGATTCATTCCCGGAGCAGCTCGGGGTGAGCTGACCTCTGTCTAGACTAAGGCAGATTTTCCTCCAGGTGTTTTGAGGACTCTCTGCGGCTTCAGAGGAGCCAAAGCCACCCCTGGTGTTCCCTGGGACACAAGGGAGCCATTGATGGTCCCTCCCGAGGCAGGGGAAGCGAGGTCAGGGCGAGGGAAGGAACGGGATCCCTCGGGTTCTGGAGCTGCAGCCCTTCTCCAGAACGCTGAGCTCTGCCTGCTCAGCCCACTTCAGCTCACAGAAAATCCACCGGGAATTGCAGCGCATCCCGGTTTTTCCCTGCACGCTCCAAAGAAGCTCTGGAAAAAGCTTACGGGGGGGTCCTCTCCGTAAATTTTGGCCAAGGGAATTGAGACAGGAAAAACCCAAGGAAAGCGAGGTGCCTGAGGAACCATAAACTCCCCAAGATGAGGAGTTAAAGGAAAAAAAAAAAATCCATTTTTCTCCCCTCTGAAGAGCTCATCCCAGTTCACTTCCAGCCCAGCATTCCCATGTTTTTTATCCCACAGGAATCCCAGCGGGATGTGCTCCAAGCCCTTTGGTTCTGTCATTCCCCAAATTTCCCCCTCAGCCTCCCGGTCTGCCCCAGCGAGAGCCCAGAGCCTTCCCCACCACGTCCTCGCCTCCAGCCCTAATCCCACATTCCCACAAATATTCCCGAATTTTTATCACGGCTTCTCCATCATTGCTCACCCACACTACACAAAAATATCTTTTACGTCTTCCCCACAAATCCAGCTGTGGCTGTAGGAATTATTCCACTCCAAATCCAACCCTTCCCACTGTTCCCATTAGCGCAGAGAGCTCCAAACTGGTTCCAGCATTAAAAGAGGAGAGAAAATTCAGGATTTTTGTCCATTACAACCAAAAAAGTCAGGAAGTTCTGTGAGCACAACGTGGATTTTTTTCTCTCTAAATTCATTCTTTGAAATATTAACAGAACAGGTTTCAATTTTGAAAAATTGATCTAGGAACTGGAACAATTTATGGTAAAATAAAAAAAATCTCTGATTGTTTCAAATTCTTATTATTTATCTGATAATGTGAAAAAATATGTGGGCTAAACATGGAATAAACTGATAATTTATGTCAGTCCCGGCCATCCCGGATCAGCATTTTTACCCCATTTACCTCAATTTGATTAATCAAGGGCACATTTTGTCTCTAAATCCATCCTTTGAAACATTAAAAGAACAGGTTTCAATTTTGAAAAATTAATTGAGGAACCTGAATGATCGATAGTGAAAAGTTTCAAATTCTTATTATTTGTCTGATTTTCTGAAACTGGGACCTGAATTTTGTCTCTCCAGCCCGGAGCAGCCAAGAGTTTTATTTTAACCCCAGAGATGGGATCAATATGGGTTAAATAGGGGATAAATTGATAATGTAAATAAATAGGTGAAATAAATATGGGATAAATTGATAATGTGAATAAATAGGTTGGAAAATGCGGGATAAATTGATAATGGGAAAAAATATGGGATAAATTGATAAGGTGAATAAATAGGTGAGAAAAATATGGGATAAATTGATAATGTGGGATAAATATGGGATTAATTGATAAAGTGAATAAATATGGGATGAACTGATAATGGAAATAAATATAGGATAAATTTATCGTGTAAATAAATAGGTGCAATAAATATGGGAAAAATTGAAATTTATAATGGGAATAAATATGGTATAAATTGATAATGTGAATAAGTAGGTTGGAAAAATGTGGGATAAATTGTTAATGGGAAAAAATATAGGATATATTGATAAGGTCAAGAAATAGGTGGGATAATTATGGGATAAATTGATAATGTGGGATAAATATGAGATTAATTGATAACGTGAATAAATATGGGATAAACTGATAATGGAAATAAATATGGGATAAATTTATCACGTAAATAAATAGGTGGGATAAATATGGGATAAACTGATAATGTGGGATAGATATGAGATAAATTGATAATGGGGTAAATTGATAATGTGAATAATTAGATGGGGTAAATAGGGGATAAATTGATAATGTGGGATAGATACGGGATAAGTTGATAATGCGAATAAATGTAGGATAAATTGATAAGGTGAATAAAAATGGGATAAATTGATAAGACGAATAAATACGGGATAACCACGGGATAAACCAATAATACGAATAAACACGCAGGATAAACACGGGATAAATGAACAATTCCCACCACTTCCAACCATCCCTGTGTGCAGCAGCCTCGGGAGCATCACTTTCAGCCCAATTACCTCGATTTGATTAATGAGGGCGTTGTCAAACTTGAAGCCGGGGATCCTCTTCTCGCTGCACAGCACGCCCACGTCCTCGCTGTGTTTGCAGTCGCTGACGCCCCAGCCGTTGGAGCCACAGGCGGCCAGGCTGCTCTCCTGGCCCGTGCAGTGCACGTTGTCCAGCCAGATTTTCCCTGGAAAAGGAGGGAAACACAGCTGAGGGTCCAAAAGGAGGAATCGGGGAAGTTCTCTGGAGCTGGGTTCCAGGGAATCTTCCTGGAATGGGAAAAATCACAATTGAGGTTCCAAAAGGAGGAATCGGGGAGGTTCCCTGAAGCTGGCTAACAGGGAATCTTCCTGGAATGGGAAAAACAGAGCTGACGTTCCAAAAGGAGGAATCGGGGCTGGATTCTCTGAATCTGCGTTCCAGAGAATCTTCCTGGAATGGGAAAAATCACAACTGGGATTCCAAAAGGAGGAATCTGGGCTGGATTCTCTGAATCTGCATTCCAGGCAATCTTCCTGGGTCTCACTCTCGGTGTCAAAATCAAGGAGTGAAATCTTGGTGTGAAAATAAAGTTGCACCTCAAACAGTGCACGTTGTCCAGCCAGATTTTCCCTGGAAAAGGAGGGAAACACAGCTGAGGTTCCAAAAGGAGGAATCTGGGCTGGATTCTCTGAATCTGCATTCCAGGGAATCTTCCTGGAATGGGAAAAATCACAATTGAGGTTCCAAAAGGAGGAATCGGGGAAGTTCCCTGAAGCTGGCTAACAGGGAATCTTCCTGGAATGGGAAAAATCACAGCTGAGGGTCCAAAAGGAGGAATCGGGGAAGTTCCCTGAAGCTGGCTAACAGGGAATCTTCCTGGAATGGGAAAAACAGAGCTGAGGTTCCAAACGGAGGAATCGGGGCTGGATTCTCTGAATCTGCATTCCAGGGAATCTTCCTGGAATGGGAAAAATCACAATTGAGATTCCAAAAGGAGGAATCGGGGAAGTTCCCTGAAGCTGGGTTCCAGGGAATCTTCCTGGAATGGGAAAAACACAGCTGAGGTTCCAAAAGGAGGAATCGGGGAAGTTCCCTGAAGCTGGCTAACAGGGAATCTTCCTGGAATGGGAAAAATCACAATTGAGGTTCCAAAAGGAGGAATCTGGGTTGGATTCCCTGAATCTGCATTCCAGGGAATCTTCCTGGAATGGGAAAAACACAGCTGAGGTTCCAAAAGGAGGAATCTGGGTTGGATTCCCTGTAGCTGGGTTCCAGGGAATCTTCCTGGAATGGGAAAAATCACAATTGAGGTTCCAAAAGGAGGAATCTGGGTTGGATTCCCTGTAGCTGGGTTCCAGGGAATCTTCCTGGGTCTCACTCTCGGTGTGAAAATCAAGGTTGGAATCTTGGTGTGAACACAAAACAGCACCTCAAGGATTGATGGATTGGGAAAAGCTCTGGCTCACAGCTTTTCCCATCCTTTATCCATTTGGGAATAAAAATCCACCTCCTGCCTGTGCTGCTCCATCCATCAGATGGATGGATCCATCACAGGGATCAGGGATGAAAATTCTCACCGGGAAAATCAAGGTGTGAAAATCAAGGTGTGAAAATCAAGGTGAATAAAGCAGCAATTAAGGACTGATGAGTTTGGTGCCATGAGGATTTTTTGCCTTTTCTTTAATCTACTTTTTCTTCTCTGTGCTCTTTCCTTAAATCTGATAACCTCACATCATCCTGATATTCTGTTAAACCAAAACCCCAAACATCCTAAAAGCCTCGCCGTTAGAGGCTGCAAAACCCTGCACTACCTTAAAAAACCAAAGTTCCCTCTCAAATACATCCTAAAAACTAAGATTAGCCCACCCAAGAGAATAAAGTATAAAATGAAAATAGAATAAATATGAAAAATCAAGATAAAAAATAACAGGCTATTAATCTAGCCTCTCATTAAGACATCTTTGTTAAATATCCTAATTTGCAAAGTCTGTGAAATTCTGTCCGTGATCCATTGGTTTGCTCCACCTTGGCAAAACGTTGCACCATAAGAATCCTCATTAAACACCAAAACAAAAACCCCTTTATCCCTTAATCAAATTAATTAACTTGAAATTTTAACTTGTAAATGATTAATTTAATTCAATTTCAAGACCAAAGAAAAGTTGCCAAGTTGGGCAAAGGTCTCACCCAATGGCTTTCCCCATCTTTTATCCACATGGGAATACTAAATTAATATTAATTAATTTAATAAATATTAAATTAATATAGTCAAGTAATAATATAATTAAAGAAATATAATTAATTAAACAATTAATAGAAAATTAATAATATAATTATAATAAGTGTATAGTAATAATACATTTTATATATTAATGTATTATGTATTATATGTATATTAATATATAATATACAATACATAATATACAATCTATAATCTATAATCTATAATCTATAATCTATAATCTATAATCTATAATATATAATATATAATATATAATATATAATATATAATATATAATATATGATATATCATATCTAATATATCATATATCATATATCATATATCATATATCATATATATCATATATATATTAATTATACATTATAATTAATGTATTGAATTAATACATTTGAATATATTTAAAATATTAAAATAAGAAATGAATACATAAAATCAGGCTCCTCAGAACGAGAGTGGGAGGAGCCCCCCAGCCTCTGGATTTGGGATTTCCCTGGGAATTCTCCCTCCCGTGGCCAGCCCGGTTTGTTTTCCCATGTCACGGCCTCTTCCTCACTTGGAAATCTCCTGCTCCGCCTCCGGAGCCAAAATCCACAAATTTGGGAGCAATTCCAGGTTTGCAACTTCCCTCAGGCTCGCTCATTCTTTTATGGGACATTTATAGGTG